CTGCATGGGGTTATTCCTGCCTAGGGGCAGGACCTTGCACTTGCCTTTGTGGAACTTCATGAGGTTCCTCTCCGCCCACCTCTCCAGCCTGTCCAGGTCCCTCTGGATGGCAGCACAGTCTTCTGGTGTGTTAGCCTCTCCTCCCAGTTTAGTATCATCAGCAAACTTGCTGAGGGTGCACTCTGTCCCTTCCTCCAGGTCATTGATGAATACATTGAACAAGACTGGACCCAGGACTGACCCCTGGGGGACACCACTAGCCACAGGCCTCCAACTTGACTCTGCGCCATTCACCACAACCCTCTGAGCTCGGCCATCCAGCCAGTTCTCAATCCACCTCACCGTCCACTCGTCTAGCCCACACTTCCTGAGCTTACCTAGGAGGATGTGATGGGAGACAGTGTCAAGATGGATCAGATGGATCTCACTGCATTCTTCAGGGATAGTTACAGGAAAAAGGAAATAAATATATAGCAGAAATTACTGACCAAATCAGCTGACAATAGAAAAGTTTCCAAAGGAAGGGATCCAATAAATAGATATGCCTGCAAATTACCTGCCTGCACCTTTTTCTATTATTATCTAGAGTGTCTGTCAGATTATTCAGGATAACAGCAAATCCTCTAGAGTTAGTCCTATCCTTCCCCCTTACCAGCCCCTCCCTTATTCTTCCATAAGACAAAGAAACACTTGGAGATCTCTGCAGATGCAAGAGAAGGAAGAAGGTTTGTTCCACTCAGTATATCAGGCGCGGCATTTTTTCAGACATTTCGACATAGCAGGACAAACAAAAACAGCAACTCTCCTCTTCCACTCATCAGCAGCAACACTGCACAACCACTTCCACTTCCATATTTTAGGAAAGTGCAAATTAAGTTCTGTTTTGGTACATGGTAGTTCTAAAGTCCCATGTTTCCTCTATATGTTATCAGAAATGTAACTAAAATTGTGTTGTTTTTTACCTTGACAGTATAATCGTACAAAAAAATTGGCTGAAGAGTATGCATGTGTGTTTAGGCGTATGGCACCTCCAGGTATATCTTTGGGTTAAACCAAGTGAACCCTAAAAGTAGCTGGTTTCATAAATTCTGACAGCCCCACTAGGACTGATTACGATCCAAGTGTTTTGATCAAAACTTGAACTGAGGGGGGAGACCAGTGGGAAAGCAATTGCCCTTGCTAAAATTAATTAATTACACAGGACAGATGGAAAAGAGAGTTCCTCCTGTTAAAGGGTTACTATTCAAGCTCAGGTCCTGATGGCCCTGAAAGTACAGTGGAGGCCTCAGGACATGTATACTTTCAAGTCTGGCAGGTAACCAGATGGTTATAAGCCTTCTGCATATTTATAATTAAACACATCTCAATAGAGTGCAAAGAAACATGCTGTTCTCTTTTTGCATATGTGGCTATTTTAAGTCATATTTTAAAATATCTTGGCTATTTAAATTTCAAGAACAAATTAACCACAGATTTATTCAAAACCCTGTATAAGGAGACCTAAAGCAAACGCCTTGATCTTGATATAGCGTATTATGAAAACAGAACTACGCCTTGATATCCAGACGGGCAAGTTTATCTTGGCATCAGAACTCTCTACAGGACAATAAAGGTATGAGATCAAGGAAATGAGGAATGTGTATTTAAAACAGCTAACAAAGCGGAAGAGATTCTGCACCATGAATGCATCTATATTACTCATCCCAAGTAAAAAGCATTCTGTCCAATGCTTTTCACTTTTTATAAAGTTAGCATTTAATAACGCTTTTTACAAAGAATTTTATTTTTCCTCTTTCATAGACGGGGAAATTCAGGTAGCAAGAAGGGACGCAACTCGTTCAAGGTCACCAGTAAGCCGCTTCAAGGCAAAGAACTGAACTCAAAGAACCCGAGTTCCTTTCCAGAGCACCATAGCTTCTTTATGCCAGAAATGCACAGACTACTGGTACATAACTCACTTCAATTTAGGCACTTGACAAGATTGTTAGGAAACTACTTGCGTTTTAGAAGAGGCCGGTCAAACTTGTATTCATACTCCATTAGACAAACACATACAAGAAAAGGGTGGCATTCAGATATTGTTTTTCCCTTTTGTATATACTGCTTGTAAGCATGATTCATGCTATCTGATGATTGGGTAAGTGATTTAAACTGTTAAGACTGCCTACATTTTGATCCCTTGATAACAGGTCTCTGAATTATTAGGTAGAATTGCTACGTTCGAGTTTACTTCTTTCAAATCAGCACTATCAACTATAACATTCTCGGCACTTGCTCTTTGCTGTTCTTTTTTTTTCAGGTCTACACCCATGCAGAATTTTGAAAAGGGCAACCTGTGGGAAAGTTGTTATTTTCTCTCCTCCAGTCCCAGATATGCTAGGAAATTATTAAGTTTGATCATTTCCTTACTCATTAACTTAGCATTATATTTACTGAAAGGCAAATTCCTTTGGAGGCAATTCAAAAAAAAAAAAAATCTATGAACTCACCCATTAAATTCCTCTTCCTCCCCACAATAGATGTTATTTTCCTTCTTACACTTCCTGACACCCATACACTTCTTGCAGCACACCCACCTCCTCCATTACTCTGAGCCATCAACGTGACCTGCTCACTTAAACACAATAATCACACACCAAGCCAGTAGCAGCACTCTCTTTTAAGTGGATTGCCTTCCCACAGGGCTGTTTCACAGCAGGAGAAGATGGGGAAGATGGCAAAACGGGGACACGAGAAGGCAGCAAGACACAAGTGTTCAGTAACACAGGGAGCAGGCGATGTGAAAGACCCAGCCTGGGAGAGAAGGGAAACTGGTGAGCGCGAGGATGGGGCTGTGGCTCTGGGAGCGAGTGCCCAGAGTTGAGCCATGCGCACTGCAGACAAAGAGTTTCCCTTGCTGCTGCTGCTACTGCCCCAGCCAGAATTGCACCTTTGTGGGGCAAACTGTCTGTGCAAATGCCTCAGCACAGAGGCATGTAGCTCTTTGTTAGGGTGCTGTCTGAAGCACAGGCAACAAACTGAATGTTTTTATGTTGACTCATCCCAACTTTAAGTAAACCTCATAGCACAACCCAGGAAAAAGTGGCCTCTGCCAGGGAATCAGGCACCAAGGACTTCTCCTGATCCCTAAATTTTTACTTCCCCTGATACAGAGGTGTAACTTGTATTTTTTCTCAGGGTTGGCTCAGTTTGGTCTTTGACCTCCAGTTTTGCATGAGTGCAGGAACTGGGAAGTCAGACAAAATGAACCCCATTACAGTATAAAACGCAAGGTTGCACATGCATTACCAAACACACAAGTGCCACTCTGATTTAGTGAGCTCCACGGGCACATGCTCCATTTTCAGCATGTGGGTAGACTGCAAAGTCGGGCATGAATTTATGACTACCTGAAACTGCTTAGAGAAAGCAAAACGCATGAAAAGTCCCTGACACACAATGGAAACAACAGCTGTTGTCGAGCTTAAAGAGCAATGCCGGGACTTACCTTTGAGGGTTACCCAGTACTGCTTCCACTTCCTCCGTGTGACCAGCTCCAGTTTTTTCTCTTTCTGCAGAGTCACCAGGGGTTTGAAGAACAGCCACCCTGCCTTGCGCACCACTCCTTGCTCTTTCTCATACAACAGATCCAGCTGCTCTAAGGAGCTGAGCGACTCACTGCTGGAGTCTTCGGTTTCTGATGAGGTCTCCGTGTTCTCAACATTTGTCCTGCTCATCTCCAGCTCCCGCATGAAGTTCTCATAAATGTTCTGCCTCAGGGCATCACCGCTGATGGCGTTAGTGGATTCACTTCTATGGGACAGGACATGGCTGGAGCCAGGTGACCACAGCAAACTGGAAAGCTGGGATGGTGCCAGAGCGTCTGTAGTGAAGTTGTCCATTCTGCTGTCAAAGTATTCGCTCCCTTCTTTACATTTTGGCTCCTATACATAAAGCAAATTGCCAGTAATCAGTCACCAGAGGTAGGACGAAAAGACACATCTCATTTGGCATTTAAATTTGTTTCATGTTTGGCCACAGTGAATTCCTTCCTCAAAGGCAGCCTCTTTTCACCATTACATCAGAAGCTTTATCTCGGCAGCCACTGACACGGTCAGAGCTGCAGCTCAGGTTTTACACAACAGCACTCCATTAAAGCCTAATCACTGTGTCGACAAGTTTGGTAACCCAGAATCCTCCACAAAATCTCTGAATCTGCTGATAACCGCTGTAGCTTTATCATTTGGGGGGGGATGTCATGGGGGGGGGGTGTCATGGCAAGTTTCTTTATTATTATCGGGTTTTCAATACTTCAGGGATGCTCCATTCATGTGCGGCAGCCCCTCACATGAAAAAAGTGATATTTAACTATATTTATAAAGTTATATTTAACTTTAGCACAGCCAGGCTGATCTTACCTCCACTTTCAATTTGCCATATAAACTGTGCTTAACCAACACAAAAAAGGTCGAAAGTTCAAAATATTTTAAGCTTGTTAGTATTGACCATTTGACAAAAATCTAATCTAACAGAAGATGTGATTAAAAAAAAGAAAGATAGAGTTGCTGACTGGCATGAATCCAATTTCCAAACTGCAGAGGTGTGTATTTTATGACTTGCTGGAAACCCCATGGAAGCTTGACTATCCTCAAATGCTGATGGGCATTTTTCCTAACTGCAAGGTACAATTTCATCCCTGCATTGGGAAGGGAGGCCAGTTTTATCTGAAATGCTCAGGCCTGATGAGACTTCATGTATGACTTCGACTTTACCTTGTGACAAGGATGTTAACTTATGCCCATTTCCTGCCACTACTTGTCAATGTGGGACCTTGATAGCAGGTCTGGCCTTTTCCTTCTCAAGCCTTTTCCAGTAAAGTGCTGACTGCCCTCAACTTTCACAGGGTGCAGGGATGGTGAGGGATTTTCCAGCTACACAAGACTGGGCTCTCTGGACCAACTTCATTGTCAGGGATCATGATATACATCTTAAGAAGCAATTTATCGTCCTCCCACCTTCAGTTTTACTGATGGTATTTAAATTCAACTGAGATATAAGAGCATACAAAACACAAAACCTGCTGCCTTTTGCAGGAGAGGAAGAATTTGAAACTGCTACTTGAAAAACGTTAAGGGGAAGAAAAGAAGAGATGGCTATACACAATCAAAGCAGAAGCAAAGCTATCACCTTTGGTAATAATAAAGCTATTATACTTTCCTTTCAAGTTTAGACTGTTTCTATAGTAGCATTTATTTGCACACAGAATTCTGTACAAGGATAAAGTAAATAGTCCTTGATCTCCTGTGCACTGATCTCACCAGAAGCTCTGAGAGCAACTGCCTTTTCGTTTTTCGCTTCCCTACTTGATGCTCTTCAAAACTGTAGTGGAAAAGCTGGGCTGTGTTTTGATAGTATAATGATCTCCAATACGCAGCCAAGAGCAACACTGAGATCACATGCAGTTGCAAGTGTCACAAGACAAGTCACCTTTCAACCAGCAGGCCACTGCTGGTAGTGTAGTAGCCTCACAAAAGCCAAGTTCAACTGAAAAAATATGTTCTATTATGGTACATTTAAGTTCAACTCTAGCCTTCTGGATCACTGGCAAAAAGGATCCAGTTCTCCTGGGACTGTAGCACTGGACTCCATATTCTTCACAAATCTTACTACATTTTTAGTCAATGTGCTCTGACAGTAACTCCCTAAACATGAACAATTCTGCATTTTATACAGTAATGCCAAATACGTCTATATAGCACAAGGCAGAAAGAACCTTAAACTTCAGTGACTCATATAATAGATACTCATATTCGCCAGGGTTAAGCTATCTGAGAATAGATTAAAAAAAAAAAAAATCTAAGGCATCAGTGATAGTAAGCAGGGTAGCTTTAATTTTCCACAGGCAAGCTGATGAAAGAGTTTGAATTAAAAAAAGAATCACGTATGTAATGTGTTTGTGCCCACAAAGTGACTGTACAGCACAAATCACAACTGCACCGGCCATATGCAATTTTGTGGGCAATTGTTTTCTTGGCCTTCTTTTTAATTCACCATCAGTGTATGCATATGTCAAAATTCTGTATGTGAATTGTTTCTAACTATTCTCCAGAATCTGTCAGTTCCCTCTAGAAAAGGATAACATTCAGTTTATTAAGGACATCTATTTCTTTCAATTCCAAATTGCTAATAAGAAAAGTAATGAGGAAAGCATATACAAGAGGATGTCTGCTGTGGAGGGCCACTACAGGAACTACTAGCATTAATGAAAACAGAAGGATATAACCTGTCCATGAATAGCCACTAAGCACATCCTATGTTTTCTCCATGGACACAGAAAGGGTAGAAACGAGCAAGTACCAGAGTAGAGTAAATGGACACAAGATTCAAAATAAATGAAATTTTGGAAGCATGTACACTTCACCAGGTCAGCATCACTTGTGGTTTTGTAGAAGACTATGGGCATGGTCATCAGTATCTGCTGATCCTCAGGGAGGCTGTCATTGTATGTAGCAGTATCTGCACCACTGCTGAAAACATCTCACCCAAACTGTTGTTGGTGCTGTTTTCCCTGCTGGAATCACTCCTGTTCACTTTCTCTCTATTACATCCAGTGACAATAGAAAACCATCAGTGTTTCTGCTCACCTACATTCAAGCAGATCTCTCTAAGTTTGAGACAGATCCTGGAATAGTTACAGATAACACAAAAGATGAAGTGGCTAATCAAGATACCAGCTAGGCAAAGTGATGGGTGTAATAAACAGCTGCAAAGAACAGGGAAGGAACTAATGGAGGCTATTAAATCCATGAGGACCCGAACTGATAATGGGATCTAATATCAGTTTTCAGCCCAGATAAAGACATTACCTCAATGTCCTTTTCTTTTAAATTCTCTTCCTTTGGATTTACATCTCTACACATCAGTGCTCTGACTTATAAAAGTAAATTTCAGAAACAATTTTCACAACCAGGCTACTTACTTCATTCAAGAACTTGTCTTCTGTAGTTGTTTCCAGTTGCTGGATTTTAATTTTACACAGCATATGCTCTTTGATTAAAGTTCTGCCTATGCTACAAAGACAGATGTATGCATAAGTGCATTCTTAGTCTATGCCACCATTTTTAGCAGAGCCTGACTGTGCAACAAGTCTGCCTAAACTCTGCCCACACATCAGTCGTCGTTGCTCATGCTTAATAAATATATTGTGATGCAGCATCTTCCCAATGCCGGTTCTGCAAGGATTAAAATAAATGAGGATATGCCATGGAGTAGAGCACTAGTGATGCACAGAGAGAACACAGTAGGATATCCTCCTGCAAAGAGCTGGGTCATGGCACAGAATGACTGCAAGTCTTTGATGTGAGACCATTATTAGAAAGGCAAACTCAGTTCCAGGATATATCAGATCAAGTATCAGATCAAGCCAGACATAAGGAAGCATCCAAGCCATCGGGCAGGGCATAGCCAGGGGCTCATCTGGAGTATCCCATATCCAATTCTGGTTACGAATGATTTAAAACAGGTGCAGAGAAGGGTTGCCAGAATGAAAAAGGAAACAGACTTCCTATCTTAGAGACACGAGTCCAAAAAGGGTCTGGTCAGTATAGACTAGCAAATGTGAGCTGAGAGAAGATATAATTTCTCCCTTTAAATAAAACATAACAGATTAAATAATAAGGAAGGATGACTAAAGTAATGGACAATACTGGCATGAGAACAAATTGGCCAGGACTATATTTAGTCTGCAAATTAGAAGACAAGCTCTAAGCATCAGAGTAAGAAGGTTTGGAAACAGCCTTCCAGCCAGGGAAAAGTCCACCTGATTTTAAGATGCAATTTGTTCATTGTTATGAAGGATACTTCCCTTCTAATGACAGGGAACTGGTCTCAATACCCCAAGATTGCCCCTTCTCATCCTGAACCCCCTTGAAGTGGGTGGCTGAGCCACAGGGGCAGCTGGAGGGCCTATCTACCCAACCAAGCAAGGGCTTAGGCCTGCTTATACTGAAGTGTTCCAGCTTTCAACTATATTCCAACCTAAGTGCCCTACAGTCAGTTATTAGTAATGTAATGAGGAAGGGGCATAGTGTTCAGAGCAAGGCAGAAAGGTTACAACCACTATAATGAACTGTCCTATAAACAGGGGCAAAACATTCACCAAATTAAACTGTGCACAGTACTTTTGCCTTTCTAAGCCAAAGGACCCAGAAACAGTATAATCGTCACCAAGTTACAGCACAGCAGCCCCTAGAAGAGTTTACAGGTTTTCCAAAATGTGTGAGGCAGAAAGGAACTGACCAAACCTCAGAATGAAGGTGAAATCATAAAGCTTCTCATTTTATCTTTTTTGTAGTTGCATACTTGGCTTAAAAAAAAAAAAAAAAAGATGATTACTTCTTCTGCCTTTTTCTAAAAAATCACCATTTTTAGAGGTAGGGCTGATTTCCTTCTACCAGAGTCTGATTTGGGTTTGATGCAATCTCACCAGTAAAATTTCCTTGCCGTTTCTGAAGTCAGTTCACTGCACACTGAATTCAAAACAGTTATGAATCGTGTACCACAAATACCATTCTGAAAATGTCATAACTTAGTAATACATGGCAAAGGTCTGTGCTGCAGAGATCGTATGCAAAGCCTGGTTATAAAGTCCAGAATAGCTACGGATGTTTGTTTGTATCAACAAAGAACCTGATATATAAAATGCTAAGGCCTTCTTTACTGATTCTGTTTTTTCTGCTTCTATTTTACAGCTGAGTAAGAAGGCGAAAAGACAAAATCTGATAACATATATGAGCATCAGCTCACAAAAAAAGTCTTGACCGACTTAGTAATCCAAATAAATGGCTTTCATTTTCCCAGTTCTGTAGCCCTTATGTAGGGTTTATGCTGGCAAACCTTATCCTGACCTCACTGTTGAGCCTAAGCGTCCCTCAGAATTTTATGTTGCAGTGACAGATGCCTCAAACTAAATACAAAACCCATCAGCATTTCCAACAGGGGGGATAACGTTTGCTACATGCCAAGGAAGAGCATAATATGAGCTACTGCTCAACTGCTGCCTAAGTGGAAGGAGCAGGGGCTCTACTTCCTCTCTGCTCACCTTTGAAGAGGCCAGCACCCCAATATGGCTCACAGGAAACAAACCCTTAGTTAAGAGAAGTGCAGTGACTGTTCCTGTATGAAAAATACTAGGATAGATTTGAAAAAAAAAAAGTCTCTGCCTCCCCTCTCTGCTTATGAACTTGCATATAAAAGGCCAGGCACAGTCTGGCATTTAAAGAGCTGATTCTGGGGCCTGCAGCTGGAGATGAGAATTTCATTCCTGACCACAGGCATCCTAAATTCCTATTAATGGGATTAGCCTTAAATTCTTCTAAAGAGACATCCTTTTCCTCCCTCTTGCCCTCCTCCCACCTCCTTTTTCACACAACCAACTCCCGGCTAGCCAGACGGCAAGTCAAGCTTTTCCATCTGGTGAACTAAGCTCACATACAGGAAAAAGGAGGGCACACGATTAATACCTTCACAGAAGGTAGAGGCAGAAGCAGGAGCTCCATTGTCTGTTTACCTAGCTAGAAAACGGACTGACAAAGAAACAAAAGTCAGTGATGAAACCAATAATACAAATACGGGAACACTTGCAAAGATATTTGTAACATGCTTGTCAACTTTGCTTCTATTGCTCCTTCCGTACTCTTCAGACAAAGCATGCTGATTTATAGCGTATATATGCTATGTTATATTTTCATAGTTAAAACAAAGAGAAGTCACACTGTAAGAAATGCAGTAGTTTCAAAAGTTAATTCACTGAGATATTAGGCTCCAGAGATTCAAGCTAGAGACAGCTGAGAAGGTGACAAAACAGGAAGGAAAAACGATCTTTTTTTGGTTGTTGTTGAAATTTCAGATGGCTTCAGAGTTGGAATCCACCTCAGAATTCCACAAATTACCAAAGGAGGGTAGTAATCAATTATTCTGTGAGAAAGACAAACATGATGCAATCATTACATTTATGAGAGGAATCAGCAAACCAACTTCTAGGCTCTTAGGCTAGGCTTTGTACATACCTGCAGCTTTCTTTTCTTCCTCGAGAGGCTTCCTGTCCAATCACTGATGCGTCGCATTCGGTTTTTTAACGTATCCTTCTTGGATGCATCCTCACTGAGGGGCTTAGACTTTCTGCATGGAAGCGTGTAGGAGGAGTAATGTGCAGGACTTCCATGCTCTACCCTGGAGGGAACATCAATGTCTGAGGCAAATGATACACGGTTGCTTAAGCTGCCATGAGTGTCAATATATTCATCAGACAGCCTGATCCCAGGTGGAGGGGTGCTTTCCAAATTTGTATCCTTATACAGATCTCGGAGTGAGGAAAGAGATGAACTTTGGTTGAAGGACTTCTTGTTGTCGCTTGCTGGGAAACTGGCATGAATGCTCGTATCTGGAGTGCTCCTCGTCAAATATGGACCATCCAGCTCATTGATATCCCCAGCATTTCCCCAGAGAGAGTCATACCATGAAGACTCGGAGCTCAGGGAGCTTCCTTTACTAGATCGAAGCCTTGAGTCAGTAGGTGACAGACGATGGCTGGAAGAACAGTCTGCGCTGGAGTTCCTCCTGACATCAAGCAGGTTATTCGATTTAGATTCTAAAGTGGGTGAATACCTCAACAACTGGACTGGTCCACTGGACTCCTCTGTAGGTAATTTGTTGTTGCTGCTGTTGTGGAATTCGACCCTCAAGCAGCCGTCCAGTTTCCCCAGTGTTTTAATGAGGACTTTTGGACTCCTCCTGTCCTCTGATGGTGAGGTTGATGCAAGACTTTCATTCTTTCCGTAGCAATTTAAAATGTGTCCATTGCATTCTCGGGAGGCAGCATGATTACTTGCAGCTTGAAGGCCAATATAGTGGAAACCGTTCTCAGGCAAAAACGTTGCGTTGCTTCCTTGGCAGTAGTCCCCTGAGGCATTTGTCCTGTGTTTGGCATGGGCATTGCTTTTAGGGACCTTCAGCACAGTGTCACTGAGTCTAGATGAATAAGGCTGACTACTCTTGAAATGGGAAAGGCAGCTTCTGGCAAGGGACCTCGATTTATAATTTGAGCCACTACTGGTATGTCCCCATCCATGCAAGGAGCAAGACTTTTCATCTTTAGCATGAATGCTGCGGATTTTTAGAGAGCAAGGCTTCTGCTTGGCGCCAGCTGTAGCAGCAGCATGAGTTTTTGATCCCTGAAGACTGTATTGGCTTTCTGAATTCCCCATTTTCCACTAAATTAAGAGGAGTTTCATTAGAAACAATGGCCAGAAGACAAACAGCTAAAAGTAAAAGACCATTTTTACTCTCTAAGCAGGAAAGTGCCTTTTTAAAAATGATATAAAACAACTGCTTCAAAAAAATCCATTAAATAGCCATTTACAACATTAAGTTCATAATAGAATTTATTTTAGGGGCAGGCTAGGAAAACCTATTCTTTGCATGGTTCATTACCCCTCTGTTGTATAGCTGGAATCTAACCCCATTGAAATCATGTCAACACCTTTCTCCACCCACACCCTTGGCAACATCCTTTTCTTATAACTTACAAAATCTCTGGCTCCCAAGAACAATGGCATAATGAAAGGGAGACAGCAGGATAATCATTACTTAGATGTAAAGTGAACTGTACTTTCAGAAAAATCTCTTCTGCCAGGAGACATGCAAACTGCAGTTTCAGCTTGACTGGCTTCTGTGCAATAAAATGTTGCCTCAACAAACTGTTCAGCAAACCCCAACTTCATGTGTAAACGAAGTCAACCCAGAAGAAAAAGAAAAAGAAAAAGAAAAAGAAAAAGAAAAAGAAAAAGAAAAAGAAAAAGAAAAAGAAAAAGAAAAAGAAAAAGAAAAAGAAAAAGAAAAAGAAAAAGAAAAAAGGGGGGAGAGGGGGAAGGAAAAAATACCCCTAAAGTAAAAAGGACTTGGTTAGCAAACAGCCTCATCTTCCATTACAGCACAAAATCACGTTATGTTCATTCAGCATGGGGCAGTTTGACAGTTCACTTAGTAAAAAGAACTTCAGCTTTTTACTGAATTCACAGGGAACTGCATACACTGAAGTAGTCACATTGCCAGAATGAGAAGATGGAAGGTTTTTGCCCTACACAAGCGGACTCAAAAGTAAAAAAGATAGATCTGTCATTTTTGTTACTTAGAGTCAATCTCCCCCGGTTGCAGAAAAAACAGTAAACAAAGTTTTTAAAGTACAAAATCATTTTCAATAGGTACTGCACTTCTTTGCATGTCATATCTTATACTATCAGTCCTTAGGAGAATTCACCACAGCCTAATTAAAATTTTGGTAAAATTAAGCCATTGTGAAGAAAGAATCCTACCTTTTAGAGTTTACATATATTTACATATCCTTTTCTTCAGCCCTTTTTGCTTTTAAATGAAAAGCATAGTATAAAACAAAGAGCTTACCTGTAGGATCACTGTTAAATGTGGCCACAGTTATGAGTCAGGATGCTTTGCACTGTCTTCACCGCCAGCCATTACACTTTCCAAAAATGGGAAGGAGTTGCAAAAAGCCTTTCTAGAAAACACCAAAAAAGACAAAAAAAGGACTGTCAAATAAAATGCATATGCTTTACTTGAGCCACAAAAAAATGAAGCAAAATCCACAAATGGAGAAGAGAGAAATAATTAAGAGAATTCTTAGACTTTAGACATTGCATTTTTTATAAATGCACTTTAATAACTTGCATTGAGTTAATGCAATCAAGCCCTTATCTGGGAAAGTGTTTTATTTTCTCATTCTGTCCTTTTCCCTTCTTACTGACAAATTAGGAAAAACTTTGAGCAGTCTCTGTTTTGCTTCAGGAACATCAATAATCAACAAGCAATCAATAAACATCAATCCAGATCACTGGATTATGCAATGATCCATTACAATTTAGGCCACGATGATCAGAGCAAACTTTTTCAGTATCTGCTTATCCTTGTCCTGCCTGAATTCCAGCTAGAACCCCTGCAGTGAAAGGCCCCTGGGTAAATCGCTCCACCAACCAACCAGCAACCTCCCTCTAAGTTTGATCTGATTTTAAGTTAATCTGCCAGCAAAACAAAAAAAGGGCAGCACCAAGCACTGCACCCACCAGAAGGTAACAAGACACAAGTTCTTCCTGACCATCCGAATGTATCAGTTGTTCACTCAGCACACAAAGGCTGCAACTCAAAACAAAAGGACGGAATCTGAATTTCATAGCAGATTAGTGACTGAAACACTTCAGCAGAAGTAGTACACCACTTTAGGCTCAATTTTAGAATGCAGATTTTTAACAAGAAATCATTTTAATAGATATGCTACCTCCCAAAACATTATTTTCTGCATAAACTCAGTGGATACTGCTCATAACTTTCAGCTGAAAAACCATTTGATTTGCACACACAGTTTTACTCTTTTGGATTCATTTTGTGGCTATTTACTGCATTAAGAACCTTGAAGATACTTAAAGCTGTTCACTAGTTAGCTAGCTATTTTGCTAAACTTACGGAAAAAACAAAGATACAGGTTGCGAACTAGCATTAAAAGTAGTTTTGACAGGTAGCTGGGGAAAAGGTCCACAAATAAATACCTTAGAAGAAGTATTATCCTTCAGGATCGTGCTAGAAATGTTACAGACCTATAAACACAAACTCATGGCTGTTATCACAAGACATTTGACAGGAACAGATAGACCACATAAATTACAGATTACCCTCAGAAAAAGATCTGTTTAACTTGTTTATTTTTTCTGTTAGGAAGGTTGGTATTTAGGACTCCCTTGTCTTGTAGGTTTGATTTATCTGTGCTGCGAAGCACATCCATTTTGGTAAAGCAGTTTTAATAACATCCTATGCAACACGGATTGAACAAATGGGATTTCAGATTCAGGATAAAAGTAAAGCTATAGGTAAATTAAAGACTATATGCAAATTTCATAAAGTTCAAAGCTCCTGAACAAATGTGAACTTCAGCAAAACTGCTTTCCTCAGCCTAGCAGGCGTGGATCACACACAAGTAAGAGTTTACATTCAGAATTCTTCATCTGAGAGCAAAAGCTACATTCAACAAGGAGGCTTTGAGGGGCTTATGTCTATTCATAAGGGAACACTGAACCCAATTTGTCTAAAGAAACAGGCAAAAAGACCATCTGGTCTTCACAGTGATTGTGCAATGCTTAGGTAGTCCTTTCAACAGAGTGGGCAGTGAGCAAGCTGCTGTCATGAACCTCTGAAGATAGACATTCAGTTCTTCAAGGCTTGAGCTACTGGTACAACTTCCATTGTACATGTCTGATCCGGTACACAGATCACATAATAGGCGAATGAATAAATTTATCGCACGGTACAATATCTGCAAAATAGTGTCTCAGTCTGTGCAGGAATCAGTTGGCAGTACAACACAACAGTCAATAAACTCCATAGAAATCGCCACAAGGGATTTTTCTCAGCCTCCCAGCTGTTCAGAAAGCTACGGTAGGCTAAACATTCGTACACACTGTAATAACCTATAACAACATCTGCAAGACTGCACAAAGACTGTCACACGGAAAATTCAGCCGTAATGCCCACTTCTTGCGTCACGCTCGTGTGGAGCGATATGCCGTCGGCTAATGACCATAGGGGCGAGTGGCGTGAATCGGCTTGTTCTCAAATGCAGCGTGACACCGGGCCACGGAGGAGCTCTAGGACAAGCTCGGGCTACTTTCATTCTGAAAACTCGCATGTTTCACACTATTTTAATTATTTGAATTGTGGAAGCACTGGAAATTACAGTGCAGGGGACCTGAGTTCAGCTTCTCCAATATTTCTCACAGCAGCCTATTACCACAGAAGACAACATGCTTTTCTCTGTTAGCATGCAGAGGTAGACGGATGAATACTTCTTGTGAGCAAGACCAGTTTCTATGAATATTTTCTGCAATTATAATCGGTATATTTAGAAAGCAGCTTGCTATGCCTGAAGATGACTATTAAGAGTTTATTTGCTTTCAATTATACCCACATTCCCTAAAAAAGAAGTTTTTAATCTTCACCCTGGTTCCCCTTGACACATTTAAAAAACACAGCTATGCAAACATACTAATCCAGGAACCCCACCATCACCACCACACCCAATAATTAACGCAAATCATAACCCCAGAGCTAAAAACGTATTTCCCCATCCTTATGCTTCTGCGCATAAAGTTCTCGTAGTCTTTTTTGGCTCAGAAAAACAAACATGCACACTCAGGAGTCATTCCGGAGAATAGCCTGCCACCTATATTCCCTCATTAATACCACAGTAGTTAGACAATACCACAGACCGGTTTTAAAAATGCTAGAGGGGAAAATAATGTTCTTAAGATTAAGGTGAGGGCACACATAGTAATGCTCTGCAACTTTATGGACGCTTTCCTTGCCAGTTTCAACCTCTCAAAATAGAGGTTTACGATGCTTGACCTGCAAACTATGTTACAAGCAAAACTAAACCATAACAGTTAACATTCTGGTATTAGATTTGCTTATGAGATATAACAAGAAATTTTTATATTATGAATTAGTGGCAGGTCTGAGTCAAGGTGTTAATCCCATCCACTACCGTGGGAAGATGCACTAAACCGCTGATTTAACTACTACCACTATCTGCCTCCAGTACAGAGACACCGACTAGGCTGAGGCTTTCTAAAACTAAAGTTCAGGACACTTCTCTCTGTTCAGTTGTACAGAGATAAAACCGTAAACTCCAGACTCGCAGGAAATGAGCACAAAGACGTAAGTACTGAATACTCTGCAACTAAAGCTAGTATCAGTCAGTGGCCATAAATCAAACATAGGAAGACAAGAGATTGCAGTGGGGCATCTTCCTATGGCACCTCAGGAGATTTCTGTGACTGGGACTGACAATCGCAGCATCCCTGATGTTGTAAGAATCCACCTAATGTAAGTTTTAGCCTGGGACAGCCTCAGGGCAGGTTCAGCTTTTTAAAGAAGCCTTCTGTCGAGGAAAAGATAAAACATTACGCAGGAAAAGAAATAAGCTGAGTGTTTTGTTGCCAGTCGCATCTTAAGCAACAACCATGTGTACACAACCTCTTAGATTTTCTTTATCTCTGTGGAGCTGTGCAGGGTTGCTGCAACACTGAAAGACTGTTACTTACAATAGCGTGGCAGCTTTTGAGATGGACGTTGGACCCAGTCCTCCAGTAACTACCACTGCGCATAGTCATTTATAGCCATGTAAAGTGCCAGTGTCTTTATGAGCACGGCTTGTCCGAGTGCGCGCTGAATAAGTGCATCACAGGAAACTGTCATTGAGATTAGCGAAGGTGGGGCAATGCACAATCTGAAAGTATTGCAGAGCAATAAAAATGAAACAGAAACCCATACACAAAGCGACCAACTTGTTATTTTCTCTTAGCACGCAAATCTAGCTCGAAGTGGTGTAGGCTCTGATGTAGCCCAATGACTTTGTTTTTTTTTCTATGTCAGGAAAAACCTTTTTTTAATTGGCTGAGCAATTCTTGTTTTTCCTTTTTCAGTTCAAACTACTCATACATTCTCTTCTGCCTCGAGGTTAAAACACCACCCATTTAAATGGCTTCCGGAGTCTTAGAAATTGTACATAGCTATCTGCCAGGTACTACTCTTTTTCATGAGTTTTGCAAGGAATCAATGTGCTTTGTGAATTCCTACAAGGATACAGAATTACAGGTTTACAGTTTAAATTAACTTCTTAATCTACTTTGGTTTTTAATACGAGAACACAGAATGCAGGAATGTGAATCTGCCCTCACCTTCCCACATGGCTGCATATGAACGGATATATGAAATTAACGAGGGAGGGACGTTAGCACAACACTGTAGCTGGATTAAACATGGAGTTTCTTACTGGAAACAATTTACTGTATTTTTTAGAACTATGCACTTTGGTCACATGCTTCCACAAATCAGAAGCAGATTTTTTATTCCTGCAATCCCAATCACATTCCTATTACAAAAATATACCGTAATAATTGTACCGTGGTATTCTTGGCAAGGATATTTTGCATTATATACCACTGTATTCAAAGAATGAATAACCAAAACACCACAAATATGTCTTTAAAAAAAAAAATTATTTTGCTTTAAAAATCCAATTAGAAGTCAGAATTTCTAACTCACTCACTAGTCTCTTTAGAGTTATATCCTACTGTATTAGGAACTGTTTGGCAGCTTACAGATTAAATTAAAAATAATAGTTTTTCACATTACACATAAGTAGTCTTTATGACCCAGACACTTCTTGCTATGCTGCTACATACATTGCACATAAATTTGTAATTTCACATTTTAAGCCAGAGGGGGATAATCTGCTTTTCTGCTTCCTTCTATTAAAATAGCACTAATCCCAGCAGGTCTACATCATGGACACAGCACATCAGAATAACATATCCCATACCTGGAACATGACTTCTTTTCTCAACCATTCTTTTGAATCCAAGGCATTGGGTGTTTAATTAAATTACGCTTTATAGCTTTCAAGTTAGAGTAATATGGAAGGTTGAGTCAAGCCTGAAGATCCTTATCCTA